AGTATAAATTATATGGAAGGTAATAGCTAGAGTCAGCCATGGATGGATCAGCTTAAACGAACACCGCTATCCTAAACCCGGACTTTTATTTGCCCGAATCCGCAATCTACAATTTTAATTTTAAAATATGCACCCACAATCCGAAACTAAAAAGAAACTTTGGCCACCCCTAGAATCGCTATCCTAGCTTTTTCCTCAACCCATCCCTGGTGCCATCTAATTAAATATAGTATATGAGTTCCGACAAATTTTAAAATTAAATTTGTTTTAAAATTAATTTTAATAGCATAATTTTTAATTAAAAATATAAATTGTTTAGCTTTGCGTCCCTTAATAAAATATTATAATTCAGTTTTCTTTGATTATTTTTAAGCTCTTGACAATTTTAATTGTAAAAAAATAAATATAAAAATAAAGGACACACAAACAGGTACTGTTTGCACATGGCTTAACTTGTATATTTTCGTTTAGTTTTTTACTCCACTTCAAAAAATTTTTTTGTTTCACAGTTAAATGTAAAGAAAAATATTTTTTTCATTTTTCTTTTAATAAATCTTTTTGATAACATTTTAAATTATTTAATTTTTAATTATTATCTGATTGGTTATTATTTATTTATTTATTTATTTATCAGCAAACCACAGGTATTTTAAAATACATTAAAGTGGTGCATAAAAAAATATACAAATTGAAAAAATATGTGAAAAAACAGCAAACAAAAACATGAATAAATTTAAAAAAAAATTAAAAAAATATGTATAAGAAAATAGTAAAAAAAACACTCTAAAAAACACACACGCTAGGGTTTTATGTCTTTAGTATTTTACTTTATCATTAAAATACTGTTTAATAAAACTTCTAAATTTTTTCGGACCAGTTAATTTAAATGACTCATTTGGAAGATTATTCCAGTTATTTACTACTCTGTGAAAAAAATTATTTTTTGTTCTATTTATATATTTTTTTGTCCTAAGAAGTAGAGGCCTGCGAAGAGATCTATTTGATAAATTAAAATATTTTTGGGAATTAAGAGATGTAAAGCCTTTTATAATTTTAAAGGCGGTGGATAGATCGGCAACCTTTCTTCTATCTATTAACTTTTCGAGTTTACAGGTAATTAATCTTTCTTCATATGGGACCTTAACTAAGCCGCATTTTTTGTAAATATTTTTAGTGAATAGTTTTTGGATTTTTTCGATTTTATCTATTTGATATTTCATTTGTGGATTCCATACTTCAGTTGCATATTCTAGTTGGGATCTTATATATGTTTTATATATATTAACGAGGAGATTTAAATCTCTAGATTTAATTATTCTTATTATTTGGAAGCTCTTTAGATATGCGTTTTTTATAATCATATTTATATGGTTATTAAATGATATTTTTGAATCAATTAATACTCCAAGATCACGAATACATTCTGTTTCTTGTACTTTTAATCCATGAATGCTATACTCTTTTTTCATGTTATTTTTACCTAAATATAAAACATAGCATTTATTTGGGGATATTTCTAAACCATTATCTTCTGTCCATTTTTCAAGTTTAAATAAAGCTTTATTAAGTTGATCTCTTTCTATGCCGTTTTTATGAGCTATATATAATTTTACATCGTCTGCATATAGTTTTACTCCAACATTTTCAGGGATTTCATTAGGAAGATCATTTATAAAAATAAGGAATAAAAGTGGCCCTAAGACACTTCCTTGAGGTACACCCGATAATGTTTCATAGTTTTGGGATAATTGGTCACCTATCTTAATCTTGAAATTCCTATCCGATATGAAGTTTTTAAGAAAAGTATAAACTTTTCCACTTATGCCTGCCTTTTCTAATTTATCTAAAAGAATATTTATTGGTACAGTGTCAAATGCCTTAGCAAAGTCTATATAAATAATATCTATGCTATATCCATCTTGTATTGCATTATAGAAATCATCCATGGTAGATAATAACTGTGTGGTTGTGGATCTTGATTTAAGAAATCCAAATTGATTTTTATTAAAGAACTTATTATCTTCTAAGAATTTTGTTAATTGCTGTGCAATAATTCTTTCAAGAACCCTACATAAGGTGCATGTTAGCGATATTGGACGATAATTTTTTGGATCTGATTTTTCTCCCTTTTTATACAATGGAATAATAAATGATGATTTCCAAATTGATGGAATTTGCCCATTATCAATAATACATCTAAAGATATCTGTGATTAGCTTTGTAAGTGTGTCAGCGCAATATTTTAATAATATATAAGGAATGTTATCTGGAGAAGTTGAATTACGATTAGGAAGTGATCTGAGGACATCCCACACAGTGCTAGTACTTAAATCTATGTCTAAAAATTTTGTTTTCGGAATTATATTTCTGTTATAATTCGATAGATTAATATTTTTATTTTGGAAGTTTTTTTGAAATTCTTTTCCTAAAATATTACATTTTTCTTCATTACTAAAGTAAAATTTATTGTAAGGAAAACATCCAACTGATCCAATAACTCTAAATAATCCCTATTCTAGAACCAGTGGTTTGAAATTTTGAAATTTGCTCGTACTTGTCTTTCGTACAGGTTCTTTTTGCTTCGTACACAGGTACCAGTACGAGTTTCCAGCCACTGTCTAGAACAACATAATCTTATCCCCAAACTTAATATAATAATTAACACCTCTACATTAATCCTTTTTAACTAAGTTTAGTCTTCTGTTACGGGAGTGTTTCTTTCGCCTTTTGTCGTTCGCCGAATTTTCGTCTTTTAGGTGTTTCATCTTTCGGGTTTCGAAATTTAAGATTTTTCTTTAATGGCTAGATGTGGGAGCTATTTAACGATCTCACCAACTAATATATCCCTCCTAATAAGATAGCTTTGGAGGCTCAAATACTCTTATATTTCACAATATGAGCTGCCATAGCCGAAAATTATCAGCCCTTTGATATATATATCCTACCTATATTCTAATATTTTTCTTTTCTTAATAAACAGTCTGATTACCATGGCTGATCGAATATTTACAAAGTCTGTAATTCCCTTTAAAAAAGCGGCACTATACAAAGAGGAATATGCACTTTTAATGGCTCTTATATTTTCACATCCATGTAGATTCATAATAAATTTATAAGACTATACATAAATTATTATTTATTAAGTTATCGAAGGTCTATCACACTATGGAAAAGAGTTGTTATATGAAGCGTATTTTATTATATGAAGCGTAAATTGTATTTTCTATTGTAAAGATTAAAGTATTATCAGCAAAATTTATTTTGTAATTTTAAACTCTATTTATTTTTCATTTTTTTGTTTTATAAAATCTCTTTAATCTCTCATTTTTAGTATGCTTACAACAATAAAAATTTCCCTCCCTTGTGATTTTTGACACTGATTTGTGAGAGAAGACAGCCGTTTTCTTTTTTTAATTTTTCACTTTCTTTTTAAATCTACCTTGAAACTTTGTTAAAAATAATTTATTTTAGAGTGTCAAGTTTAATAAAATAAATTTAATAAATATTTTGTTGCTACATTTTTTTATTTTTTTCCTTTATTCTTTTGGTAGTTTTCTTTAGTAGATCTAGATAGCCTCGATTTTTTTCTTAATCTTTGGATTTTTGTGTTCCTTATTAATCTCGAAAAATCGGTTCTAGTCAGGGATGATTCGGGTTATAACTCGATTACTCGTTTATGACTCGGTTACTCGGGTGATATTACCTGAAACTCGATCCGAAGAAATTTTAAAACTTGACCCGAGCTCAAAATTTGGAATGAATCAGAAAATACAAATCTTCCTATTATCATAATTTAATGAGATCAATCCATAAGAACCCTAGAATCTCTTCAAGTTTGCTTTTTCAGAAAGCCTAGATTAAAGGCTTTTAAAAACACAGAGCCAGAAGACAGAAAGCCCCTATGTCGGGCAAATGTGTAAGAATAAGAGCAGAGGGAAATAAAGTGGTGAACCAGGTAAAATAATTTGAAGTGATTTTGAAGAGATTCTATGTTCTTATATAAATAAATTGGGAAAAATAAGGTCGTGAAAAATAAGGTCGTAAAAAATAATTTTAAGAGATTATGAAGAGATTTTGGGTTCTTATATTATTGTTTTATAATTTTAAAAATATATTTTATTACCACATGATAAAAAAATGTTTGTTCTCACGTGAATTCTTATAAATGATAAAATTTTATACGTAAAATAACAGACTTTTTCTTCACCTTTATAGCAGGGTTGTACTATTAATATACCTAGTTTTCTATTAAAAGTCCAACGAATCTCTTTCCGTTCCCTCAGATTATTTTTTTGTTTTTACTATACAATTTTAAGTCTATTTTTTATATCCAACTGCTAACTAAATTACTAAATCTTTTTAAGAAGCAGCTGTAAAAACAATTTTTTTAGTATTTTTATCTATTAAATACCTTCTTTGTTCTTCAATCATTCTTAAATCAAAATATAGAGAATGAGAAAGGATTAAAAAAATCTTGTGATTTTATTACAAAATCCTTTCTATGTATTATTTTTATTTTATTTTTTTAATAATATTATTAAATGAGATTAATAATTATAAAGGCATAAATTAATAAAAGATTTATAAAATCCTAATTATTACACACTCTTCCCCACCTCTACCCCCTCCCTCAAGATTAATTTTTCTTTTTAAATTATCACTCTATTAATTACCCTCTCCATTGTAGGGTTGAAAAATCAAGGTAATAATCAAAGGAAATATGGCAAATTTATATTTTACGGACTCTATCCGAAGCACAAAAGACTGATAATTCGAAAGAGTGACGGGTTCTTTCTGTATATTTATATTTATTTACGTGAAGATGTTGACGACAGGAAACTCGATTTTTGATTTCAAGGAACCGTGATTTCGCCTATCGATTAATTAACGATCTAACGAATTTTTGTGAATTTTGGTTGACAAGATTCCTAATACATCATTTTTTAAATTAATTCTTTATTTAGACAATTTTAGCTGATTTAAAAAAATAATTTATCAATAAATGTCTGATCTAACTAATTCAAATCAAAAACACCCTAAACTTTCTTCTCTTGCCCTAAGAAAAATTATATTAACAATGGTTACTGCCAAACTACGTTGGAGACGAATTGAAGAATTTAGAGAAGAATGCCGAGAATATATAATTAAATGGAATAAAATAAATGAAGTAATTCGCTTACAAATATTGGATGGTATGGATGAAGCAATATTTGAATTGAAAAGATGGAGTAATTATTTAGAATAATAATTTTTATTAAAAAAGGATCCATCGGTGCCAAGACTAGTCGAGATTAAAAATATTTTTATGAATCGTGAATCTTTAAATTTCATTTCTAGCGATATGAAACGAATTTTTTCGTTCTAAAATAGATTAGGTACGTGTAGCTGATCAAAACTTTATTTATAAATCCACCTCTATATTACTTTAAGTTAATTAATAGACGTCTAATCTATCGGAATACGCTAATCAAACTTGTTGATAAGCATCAGGTATGTAGGTAGTATCAGAGATGTCAGGGATGTATATCTACCGTTTTTAGGGGGTGTATATCTACCGCTTATATCTCCCGTTTTTTAAGTACTATCCCGTTTATTCCTTCCTTCCGCTTTTAAAAAAAATTTACAGCTGAAAAACACACACAAATATTCCCTGAAGAAGAAAATCTTGCCATACGAAAAGCAGCTTTACGTCAAAAAGCTCAAAGCTTAGATTGTTCCAAAACTAATACTACATCTTTATATAAACCACAAAGGACAGCAATGAGAATTTTAGAAAAATCAGAATATTTACGGATATTTTATGATTGCCTAATTTGGGAGAAGACAATGTAAAATAACTTTATATAATGGATCTCATTATAGGATCCCCCAATTTTAAATACACCTCGCTTTAAGAGACCCCTTCTTTAACATAATAGGTCATTCAATGGTTGGGGAGCTACCTGAACAATACTCTCTATTTAAGAGACACCTCAGTATAGCGACAAATTTTTCTACCCCAAGGGTGTGTCTGATAGTGAGGTCTTACACTCATAAAAAAAATTAATCTTGAAATTTTCAAAAAAGGATTAAAATTAATGATTTTGCGACAGCCAAAAATATAGTAGAAAGCCAATGCAAAAATTGGTCACAATTAAAATTTCAATTTGCCTGTTGTTATGCTATGGAAGAATTATTGGAGGATGAAAGAATTTTTGATAAGAATAGAAGGAGGGCATTTAAGTTAGTTATCTATGTAATTTAATCTTTAAAGAAATTCTGAGCTTAAAATCAGAATTCTGATTTTCTTATGCCCAATTCTGATATTTTTCTAATTCAGAACTTTTGATTCATATAAATCAGAAAACTGCTTTTCTGACTAAAATTCTGATTTTTTTATTAAGAATTTCTGATTCATAACATAAGAAATCTGATTCTGACCCTAAATTCTGATTTCTTCAATTAAAATCGGATATAGTTCGGAGAATTTCTCCAATAAATTTATAAATTAAGTTTTAAAATTCTTTTTTAAAAAATAGAAAGAAATTAGACAACCATCCAATCTACCATTTCTGGCTTAGAGTTCTTGCTGATCGTCAGGAATGGACTAAACTATACCGATCTGATCGATTAATTGTTGATCAAAGATTAATGCTTGCTTTTAAATTTGCAATTAATAATGGATTTCTTGAATTGGTTAAAAGATTATGGTTGATAATTAAATATTAATTTTTTTAAATTTAAAAATTAAAGGGATGGATTGAGTGAGGGACAAATGGAAGCTGTTGGTAAGCATATCATACTAATTGTATTTGGAATTCTGATTTAATTAATTCTGAATTTTTAATTTGATTTCTGTAAAAATTTAATTCTAATATTTAATTCTGACTAAATTCTGATTTTTAATTTTAATATAATTCTGATTTTAATTTATTAAATTCTGGTTTTAAAATTCTGATTTACTATTGAATTTTAATTCTAATTGATTTTTATTTTTCAATTCTGATTTTTTGTTCTGATTTAATTTTGATGTTGATTCTAGTTTAATTCCGATTATATTAATTCTGATATATTCTGATTGAGAAGATAATTCTTATTTTTTAAATTTCTGACATTCAAAGAATTTAATTTCTGAATTTATTTAAAATTCGGAAACTTTTCTGAATAAAATTCTGATTTAAAAAATTATTCTGACACTTCATTCTGATTCTAAAATTAAAATAATTTTAAGGCTTTTTGTGTTGGAAAAAAGTTTGTTTTAATTTACAACACCCAGAAATGGTTCGTTTTCTTTGCACAGTGCTTTGTCGGATTAATAAAAGGGGTTAAATTAATAAAAAAAATTTTTAAATTATATTTAAGGAATGGCACAGATGAGTTGGAATAATTTTTATCACAAAACATATCAGACATTAGATGTAATTTTTAAAATAAAATTTAAATTCTATGATATTAGATGACTCCGGGGATATCATGGGTAGATAAAAATTTGGGTAGGATTTCGCATCGGATTTTAAAAACTGTTCGGATCGAGTATCGTTTCGGATAGAATTATTGTCCGCGTTTTGGATAACCCTTCTCGGTTGACTCTTATAATAAACACCCCTTGAATAACGGCGGGGATCGGTTGAACTAAATCTAGAAAAAAGAGATATCGAAAGCACTGGGTTTTGTGTGAACAAAGGCTAGTCAGTCCCTAGAAGGCACTATACTGCTCTTAAAAATTGTTTTGAACTTTTTAAAATTTTTATTAAGGTTGAAGGACTTAGCCGTGACGAAAGGCTAGAACGATTTAAAAAGCTTGAATGTTTATTAGAAAATTGGTGTGATCCTTTAAGGAAAATAATTCTTTCAAGAGAAAATTTTAGGTAAATTAATTGAAAAATTTAATTATTTATTAGTAAGAACCTCAATTTTATTCACAACTATTATTGAATACATCTCAATTTAGATCACTTTCTATAGGATTATACAGGTACCCCCCGATTTTCGGTTATCAACGAGTTTCGACCTTCGGTTCTAGGCTTCGGTTAATTTGCTAAACATCCAGTTTTCAGTTCCTGTGAGGTTAACCGTTTGTGTCTAAGCCTTATATTTTATTTAATCCAGTTGCCCTTTAGGCATTGAAGCTTCTTACCAAGTTTTTAAGCTATGCCTCGGTATAAGCTACTAATTTTTCTGCCCCGAAAATTAACTAAAATTCGGATATAACGATAATAATAAAAATATTCTTTTTCAGAGTTTTCACAGATTCTGTTTATTATAATAGGCCAGACTCATTTTTATTATTTTTGGATTATTTGGAAGATTCTAAACATTTAATTAATGGGGCCAAAAAAGAAGTTGATAGAATTTATGAACGAAAAAAGGATAAGAAAAATGTTCAATTCTTCCGGCAACAATTAATTAGGCGACAAACTGCTAATGAATAAATTAATATTTTCGGAAAGTTATTGGCTCGGAAAATTATTATAAAATTTTATACGGCAATTTGTGTACATTATTTTTATTTATTGTGTATTTACATGAATATTTTTTTAAATTAATAAAATAATTTTTTATTGCTAAGTTTGTTATAGTAAAGAAGAGGGAGGGTGAGAGTTATAAGGAGAATGAACCTGTGTACCTGCTAAGCTAGGTTTTGCTACGCCTTATCCAATCGCTCCTGCAGAGCTGAAGGGTACGACTTACTCCCTCATATTTCTCCTATTGACCTGCTATTTCAAATGCTGACTGATGAATCATCCTTAGAAGGGCTACTCAGAATCGACCGAAAACTTGCCATGCCCAGAACATAATAACTTCCTCCATAATAATTTTCTTACTTTTACTCAGTAGCCAAAAAATACTACGGCCTTTTTTGCTATTATTTTCCTATTACTCCTCAAAAATTAATTTTATTCCTAGTTTTCTGAAATATTTATTTAAAAATTTATTTTGCAGCTTAGATTTTAAAAATAATGTTGAAAAATTAAAAACAGAAATTATTATAAGAGATTCTAAAAAGAAGATGAAATACGCCGTTAAAAAAGAAATAATATTAAGTCTTCCAAATGAAGTAAAACTAGATATTCTTAAATTTCTAAAATTTTATCAATTATTATCTGTCAAACAAACCAATTATCACTTTTATTGTTTGATTAGACAGAATGAGAGAATATTATCATGCAAAAGATTATATTCAGTAGAAATTTTTGGGGTTCAATTTATTTTTAAAATTTTTGCAGAATGAGAATTTTAGGATCATTTGGACGAGCTTGTTGAAAAATACAAGGGTTCCGTGACTTTTGCGCCGAGAACATTTGCGCCGCGACTCTTGCGCCGCGACTTTTGCGCCGCGACTTATGCGCCGAGCGACTTTTGCGCCGGGCGACGTTTGCGCCGCGACTTTTGCGCCGGGCGACTTTTGCGCCGCGACTTTTGCGCCGGACGACTTTTGCGCCGCCATTATCGTTAAAAATATATAACTTCAGCCGGACTCACTATAGTAGGGTTTTCGGATAGTTTGAAATCTTCGGATATGGGGCTGAAAATCATGCCGGAATAGGGTTAGCAGATCCAAATATCATGATCCAAAAAAGTCAGAACATCAGAAATCCTTTGGGATATCGGATAGGGGGATTTCCAATGCCCAGACCTAATTCACATTTATGGTCCAGACCTAATTCATTAGCTACCGGACCCCTATTGTACATACTAACTGAACTTCCTTCAGTTCATTTTTTAACCTCAATGGACACACTAAAGTGAGGTCCGATAGTATTCATTATTTTATTTTTTTAAATTATGGCGGCGCAAATGTCGCGGCGCATAAGTCGCCCGGCGCAAAAGTCGCGGCGCACAAGTCGCCAGGCGCATAAGTCGCGGCGCAAAAGTCGCCCGGCGCATAAGTCGCGGCGCAAAAGTCGCGGCGCAAATGTTCTCGGCGCAAAAGTCGTGATACCAATACAAGTATGATATTTTAAAGATAGAATCTGGAATATTTAATATTCCATTAAATGATCAACTTATGAAAAAGGTGAAATTTTTGACGTCTATATAGCAGGGTTGCCGCCTGAAACCTGGCCTTTTTTTGTACCCAAAACCCGATACCCGAAAAGAAAACTTTCCAACCGATACCCGAAACCCGTGACCCAAACTGGAAACGCTCCAACCCGAAACCTGTACCCAAAGATTTTTTGGACCCGCGGCAACCCTGCTTCATAGTAACTCTGTAAAGATCTAAAAAATTCTTTTTAAGTGGCAATCTGCTGTAGATAGACAAATCCCTGTTTATTTAAACACTTGCGATACTCCTCCAAACAACAAAATATGTATAGTAGTGGAAAAACTTACAAAATATTACAGTCACTGGAATAAAGGTTTATGTTAAAATGGAGTTATTCTTTATTTCGAACCATATATATAGATCCTCTAAAATAGCCTCCGGGGGCTATTTTTTCGATCGACCTCTAGAGGGGCTATTTTAGAGAAAATACGGTAGAACGCCCTGTATAGTTTCCTCAAATTAATGCTGCGTAATGCAGCGGTCGTCCTCCTATAGTAATTCGGTTGTCTCCTGAACCGGATCATCTTAATGGATGATCTATATAGTTAAGCTGTTAAAATTTCAGATTATCATATTCTCAAATTGCCTGTCTTTCCAAAAAATATTGAAGAAATGAAGATTGTCCGATGCTGGTTGGAAAAATTATTTCTTTGTTATTTTGATGATGCAGATTTTAAAGATTATATTATTAACCCAGAAATGATTAAAATACTTTTTAAAAATGAAGAGAATATTCCGACTCAATTTCGTACAGACGAGTGTACATTAACTTATAACATGCATAATATCGAAAATTTATTAAAATTTAATTCGGATCATTTAATTACTAAACAATACCTTAAAATAAAACTCGAATCATTCAACGAACAAGAAAATGGCAACGAGTACCTATTTAAATTATTATTCAATGGCAACAAAAATATTGATGAAATTTGGATTGGAGAAATAAATTATCTAACAATAAGACATGATGATCGAAAAACTTTGTTCGATTCAGTTATAAAGGTGTCTTTTAGAAAGGATTTTATTTGTATATATCTGACCGGTTATCAGAACTTCAAATATTTTTCTCTAAAATATTCAGATCTCTTACATACCCTACAGTAAGCTTTAAGAAATCACATGGTTTCAATGTAAGATTTTCTTTCAATTTATCCACCAAAATTAATCCTAAAATGTCTCTCCACAAAAATGTAGTAGTTTCCACGACCAAATACTTTTCAAATATACATTTAAAAAAGAATAATTTCAAAAATTTAGGAAATTGAAACTTCAACGTTTAGTTCAAACACGATCTCAGAAATTTGTTTTGGATTATGGTGGCCTATTAAATATAGTACTATTAAGAATCGTCATAGAACAGAAATTAATAAGTTATGTATTCACAAACATTTAAAATACAAAAATGGTGTTTTTTGGAAGATTTTAGATCGATTTGCATCACAAAATTAAAGAAATATATTTCTAAATATGTAAAAAATTTTCGACATTCATTGAAATATCGAAGAATTGCGGACTGACATTTTTTACGTTTACAAATTTTGTTAAGATAAAGCAAATTCTTCAATTTTGATAAATAAATTATCATTTTTCCTGTATACATATTGTTTAAAAATTTTTTTGTAATAAAACAGATTCTTCAAATAAACTTATATTTAAGCTTTCCCAGATGTTTTAGTATTAAAAAAAACTTACTTTACTGACAGTTTATTAAATTTATTTTTATCTTTTTTATTATCTACATGCAAAAATAAAAAACCTACCGTTAAAATATGTTTAGTGTAATTACACGTATAGCTTAATAGTTAACACGAATAATTATTTTATATTTTTAACATAAATTGTTAATTAATTCGCTAGCTTATTTGAAAACTGACATTTGTTGACACCTACTAAGCTTTCTTTATTGTGAAATAAATCAAGGATATTTAGGTACTTTTGGGGTATCCCAAATCAATTTTCAGGCATCATAACAACCCACGATATTTCCCTCAAATATCCGCAAAAAGTTTATCGAATAGAGAAAGGAATAATTATTGAATCCCTGACCATTATGAGACCTTTATAATTATTAGTCCGCCCTTATTTGTGATAACCCATAAATACCAATCTATACACTCAAAAAATTCTTATGACCCGACACCGGAGATAATCCATGGACCATTTGTCTTGATTCCAAACATTTTCAAATTTTGTCCGCAAATATTTTGCGGACAATCCGCAAATAATTTTTTTTCCATTTTTTCTTTAATTTTTTCTTAATATTTAACGCTTTATTTACTTTTTATCGAATTTTTCATCACTTTATTCGTTGTTTACATACTTGCTCATCTTTTTCGTCCACTTTATCCACTTTAAACTTTTTTTATAATTTTATTCATCTTAATGACTTTCAATTGCTTTTAATTTACCTATTTTATCTTCATCAATTTTTAAATTAATTAAAATCGTTCATCATTAAAGTTAATACAGTCTGATCTCCTTGTAAGACTCCAAACTCCTTTTAGTTCACAAAATTCCCGATTTCCGAAAATCGGGACGACTAGATACATGGTTATCTTACATATGTAGTTAAAATAGATCGAGATTTTTGAAAAGCCCTGTTCCTGGACTCTGGAGTTTGATTTCCTGTCCTGGACTGGATCCTGGGGATAGTCCAGTAAAAAACCCAGGCCCAGGAAAAACCCAGGAAAGTCAAAAAATGCCTGGACCTGGACTCTGGGTACAGGAAATACCCAGACCTTGGTCCAGGCCCAGCTCGATCTCTAGTAGTTACTCTTATTTTTTACTTAAACTCCGAAAAAAATTTAAAAATTTTTTCCTTTTGATGGTTTTTTCTGTGTTGAATACCCCCCATACCTCCCTACAAATGGTCAGTGCTGTTTGCTCTTTAAAATATTTTTTTACTTTTTATTTACACTAAATTCTTCTGCTCTCTTGCACATTAATATATTTTTCTTGTTTTTGCTTACTGAAAGCCCTCACAAATATTTATCGAGTGAATAGTGGCGACTCTCCTGCTTGCTCATTAGGAAGATTTATTTTTGACATATGCTTCTCATCAATATGTATAAAATAATTAATCTATTCAGAACGCTTTTTTAAATATTTTTAAGGCTTTTTTTAAATTTAAATTTTAATTATGTCCTAATATTTTTAAAATTAGTCAAAAGTCTTTTAATTATCTCTTGATCAAAACATGAGAATATTTTTAATTTAATTTTACAAATCTTGATTTACAAGGGAGAGAGATTCAAAATTTAAGACAAAAATTTTTTCAGACAATTTTTGGAGGGGTGGAAGACTTTCAAAAAAATTTCCAGCTTCGGATTAGAGTTGAGGATCAGTAAAATATATCTATCACGAAAATTATAGAAATCCGGAAAATTATAGAAAATTATAGAATCGGATCCAACTATTTTAGAAATTTTCTTTGATAAGATTTAACTCGAATATAATTAAATTGAAACTCGAGGCTTCAAGACTCCCTCCTTCATTAGGTCGGAAAAATAATTACCCTGTGTAAAATAATTACCCTCCCATTTTGCTTTTGAACATTTTTTCAATGACAGAATCAAACAAATAGCAGAAAAATACAAAAATGATTGATGAATCATTTTTCCATGCTTTAAACATTTTTTAAATTTATTTTGATCTTTGAATTTTTACAAATTAAATTCTTCTTGTTTTTGCTCTTTTCCAAGCTAATTCCAATAATATATTTTTTTCAAAAAAATTTTCTCTTGCCGTTCTAAACCCCTATACTTTTCCTATTAGCAAAAATAGTTTTTGGGGTTGAGAGAAATGCCTCCTGCTGCTTTGGCGTCTTATTTTATTCATCTTATTCAACTATTTTCCCTACCTTTACACTAAATTCTTCCTCCCTTCTTCCTCTTCAAATTCTTCCCTTCCCTCAAAAATTGTAAAAAAAATAAGGTAAAAAGCCACATTGCCGTCGTTACAAAAAACAGAAGAAAATTTTTTCCTTGGTTCCTCAGTTATTTTCCTCAATTCCTCCCTCATTTTCCACAATTCCTCCGTCAGTTCCTCCCCCAGTTCCTTACTCAATTTCCCCTTATTCCCTTGGTTCTCTCTCATTTTCCTCAATTTCTCCCTTCAATTCTCCCTCAGTTCCCCGCTTATTTTCCTCAGTCTCCCCTTATTTTCCTCAATTCTTCCCTCAGTTCCTCGGTTCCCCCTCAATCCCTCTCCCCTCACATTTTTTCACATAAATTATATATTTTTCTATATATTTTTTTCCAAGTTGAGTCACCCCAACAACCTCCTCTCCCTCCCTCTTTTAACATTTCCTCACATACATTTTTTCATCTTTTACGAAATAAGCTCCCTCAAAAATTTTTATAGACGGGGCAAAATATAAAATAAAATAAAAATATTATGATTGCGCTCTTTTTGGACATTGTTGTCGTTTCTTTGATTTTTCTCTTTTTTGCTTCCTACCACCGCCTATTTTCGAGGCGAACAAATAAAGGCTTAATACAAACACAAAAAAGTTGGGGAACAGTTATAGCTACTACATTTAATAAAACTACAAATAAAGTCAATAATAATAATAATTTTAATAATAAAATGCCTAGCACGGCGAAAGAAAATTTAATTGAACAACAAAAAGGTGAGTAATCATCTTTAGGGAGGGGTGGGAGCAAATGAATAAGCAAATAAATAAATTGGGGGGAAAAGTATAAATTTTGTAATTTATTTATTGGATTTTGTAATATTTATTTCATTATTTAAAAAGTTTTTTTTAACTCTTAAAAAATATTTAACTAAAATTCTAAAATAAATTAATAAAAAAATAGAAAATTTTTTTGAAAAAGAATTTTTGTTTAGTAACAAAAATGAACTCGGATACTCAATCTAAACAACAAATACTTTTTGAAGATCCAGGTGAATATAAATAATTTTTAAAATTTTTTTATTTATTAATATAATTTTTAAAAATATTTTAAAACTTGGAAAGATTTTTTCTATTATTTTGGAGTTTTTGCGGATTTTTTTGCAATTTTTTTTTGTTTTGCGGACTTTTTTAATTGTGCTGATTTTTCCGTTTCCGTATCTTTCTTATTCGGTGTATTTTTGAGTTTTTTCAAATTTTCCGAATTTTTTTTATTTTTTGCGGATTGTTCCATCTCAAAAAATATTAATTCTAAAATATTTTGGAATATTTTCATCTCATTAATTATTTAAGAAAAATTTACTGGAGAAAAAGTCCGCAAATAATGTCCGCAAAATATTTGCGGATTTTTATTTTTCCATGTTAAAAAAATAAAAATATTTTTCATTATTCAATTAAAAATCAAATTTTCTTCCTTTTAAAAATAGAATTTCCTGCAATCTGGCAGAGCATATATTGCGAGGAGAGGGAGTCTGATCTACCCTCTCCTAAAGGAATAATATGGAAACGTCCTTGGGTAAATAATTAATTTTACCTTTAAAATTTCAAAAAAAAATAATTTTTTTTTAAGGAAATTAATAGTAATGCCTGTTTTATTCGTAACCAACCAGACAATTCAGCCTTCCAATTAAAAGATATAGTCCAAGGCCAATTACGCGATTGTTGGTTGGCGGCCGCGCTTTTAGCGCTGATTCAATCAGAAGAACATTTTAATGCAGTTATTGACCCAACTTTAAATAATAAATTAAATGATGAAAATTATACAGGTTTTGGACATTAAATTATTTAAAAAATTTTTTTGGGTCAATTATAGCCTCAGGCAATTTAAGAATTTTTTAATGCCTGAGGCAATATCCGACAAAGGAAACAAAAATATAATTTGATCCTTTAGAGCCTAAATATATGAGCACCCTTGGTATAATGTCAAAATAGGCATATGTGCTTAAATTTACTCATTGAATTACAGTAAGACCTTCTTTAAATACCCCTCGCTAGTGAAAGAAAAATAAACGGAAACTTATTTTTATCAAAAATTGCCTCAATCAACATTAATCAGTGATTTTTCAAATTTAAGTTAGGACAATTTCCTAGTATAATCTTATTTGTCGAGGGAGTTATTCACGGTCCCAAAATTTATAAAAATATTATGATTTTTAGAAAAAAAATTTAGGAAGATTTTTAATAGAAAAATATTTCTAATTTATTTTTAGGTAAATTTGCTTTCAATTTTACTATCAAAGAGACTACAAGGGAAGTTATTGTTGATGATCTTTTACCCACAAAAAATTGCCAACTTTTATTTATGCATTCATCTGATGGATTAACATTTTGGGCTGCTTTATTAGAAAAAGCATTTGCAAAGTAAATTTAATTAATTATGGGACTATTTTCGTATATTAAAATTGGAATAAATACCACTGAATCCGGAAAAATCGTTCGGATCAGGGTCAGATTTACGTGTGTAACTGATATCCTCCGGAAATTTTGATTCTGTAAAATGTACTCCAACTTTTTGGTATTTTTAGGCTTCAACGAACTAACCGTACATTCCCTATCGTATGTTCTCCTCCGAAATTTAACTGGATATAAAACTGAAGCTTATATTCCACTTAATCCCTTCATACATTGTATCTGGATTCAGCCGTATTTTAATGGGCTACCCGACATTTTTAAGGGTCATGTTTTCGAGGCTATTAATCTTGACCTTTTGCTTAATCTACATCAACATATCCTCAGTATTCGTGTCCTCAAAAGTCCGCAAATTTCACAATTTAAAATATTTTTTAAAGATTATATGGTTCTTATGCAGCATTAGAAAATACCAATCATTTCTATCAAGCCTTGAGGCTTTTAACTGGTCCAGGCACTATAAGATTATACATGTTAAGAGATATTACTCGATCTCAATTAATTCGGCTATTTTCTACAAGAATAACAGACATTAGATTGTGTAGATTTTGTTGTACAGTAACGGTAAATCAAAACTACTTGAAAAATATAAATTTGATATTTTTGGATAGAATGGATTTATTGAAAAGAAGGGCCATACAGGAAGAGGAGTTTTAGCCATGCGTTCATTCACTATTCTTGACTTTATTGAAGTATGTAGTTGATTTTTAATATAAGGTTTAGGCTAGTCTACGGCAAATGGATTTTTCTGGTGCCAATAATACCGGTAATGAAAATTCCGAAAAGTTTGCCTACTATACCTTTCCTGTATTATTAGTGCAAGAAAAAATTGAATACCATATTTATTCTAATATAACGACAGTCTCTATTATAACGACAGCTCTAATAAAACGACACCCTAGAAGAGGGTTGAAAAATAAAACGACATGTCGTGATATTAGAATAAATACGGTACTAGATTTTGTTTCCTTGTAGGCTCTCTTTAAGAATGAAATCCCCGCATAATAGAGTATATTAAAATCAGATATCGATATTTTAATAAACCTTGACTGGTAAAGATGAGCAGGAACATGAAGAAAACCGGGGGGACATGAATGATCGAGAATTCCTTTTTCAAGTTTCCTTTTTTAAAGATGACCAGAAACCGGTTAGGAAATGGAACCAGATCCCGTTTCCCTTTTAATATCCATGCATAAACCTATTCTTATCAAATAAAAATAATGTTTTAAGGATCGGCGGAGGAACAATTACTTAATAAAAATTAGAAATCCTTGGTCTAGAACAACAACATCACAAACTAATACTTCAAAATCAACAGAAAACAATTCTCCAAAATGGGAATACGTTTCTCCAAGATTTCGAGGAATTATACAAAAAATCGAGAATGGTTCCTTCTTATTGGGAATAGATTCATTCCATTCATTTTTTGATTATATTGAATGGTGGCAGAAGGAAGAGGAGGAAGTTGAGGAAGAAAATAAAAAGAAAAAGGAAGAAAAATTAATTCAACAGCAACCCCCACCTCCATACGAAACTACAACTTTATTGAAAGTAGAAGTTTAGAAGCTTTAAAAATATTTTAAAAAATAAAACAACAGATATATAAATGCCCAGATGTTTTAAAGGAAAATAAAAAAAAGATGCTCATCACTTAAAAAATATTTTTTGAAGAAAGATTTACTATATTTATTTATTTATTTTGATTTGTGTAAATAGACATATTACTGATTTAATTTTTAATTTGTATTTAAGCTTAAAGACTAAAATAAATTGAAAAATATATGAGAGTATATGTTTATTATCTCTCCTAGATATCCCAACAGTTTATCCAAATTATAGAATAAACATTGGCGTCAGTTGCACGAAATTGCGGATTGCGTTTGCGGATTTTTAAAAACTAATTGCGAGTTGCGTGCAGCCCTGATTGTCTCTGTAGGCTAAGGTGGAATCTTGGGTTAAATCAGAAAGAGGTCTAGCCGTGCTGGTATGATCCTCTAGCCGTACTGGTATGATTCAACTAGAGTGATCTTGAGACATACCCTCTATTTTTATTTCTAAACCCAAATATAAGAGATTAACTTTTTTGAGTTTAAAAAATTACAAAAAAGCCTTCTCTCAGATAGAGCTAATACAGTAATTTATATCAGCAATTAGTCAAAAGTGGTATGATGCTCCTCATTGAGAAGGCTCAAATATATAAGTCAAGAACACTACCAACTTAACCACAAAAGTAAACATTGATGGATTAAATAAAATATGTAATGAGTTTATTAATTTGAATCAATACTAACTTTATTTTAATATTAAAAATATAGTTATTCGTTAATCAAATTTCTTAATTTAATGTAAACTAAAGATTAATTATAAAAATTAATGTTACAGCGACTTTAGAGATTTAATAGGAAGCTCTGTTTTCTGTGCCTTGGTAGTTATTAGTACGGTTAGATTTTTAGGAAATGCAAAATTTGAATATAAAAAATAATAGCTCATTCGAAAGAGCTCATCGAGACGGGTTTCCTTGTATGCCTTATATGGAAGGTTAAAATAAATAGTCATAAATTTTTACAATCAAATCAGATTTTATTTTAATAATTATATTTTAATATTAAACTATAAAATAATGAAAGGTAAATTTGTTAAATTTTTATAATTAATGTTTTTGGCAGGTTTCCATTACCTGTTGTTTAAATGAGGTTTAAACCAGGGTTCGGATTCGTACTCATTTTGGAAGTACAGTACTTACAAATCGACCCTTGTACTTCCAAAATTAAAAATGTACTTATTTGTAAGTATGTACTTACAAATAGACTTCTTGGTTAAAAAATTAAATTTAACCTTAAAATTCTCAAAATTTTCGCCTGCGGCGCAATAAATGGAAGACTACTATTTGGAGCCAGCGGCGCCAAAAAAAGTCTTGAAAAATTTTTTTGTAGCGTACTTATATTTTGAAAATTTTTCCCCCTATGTACTTCCAAATTGAACTTTTTGTACTTACACTTAATATTTTCTCGATCCGAACCCTGGTTTAAACTATATTTATGAAATTATTAAAATATTTTTTCAAAGTAAATAATTGGGAAATGTATACAGGTATCCCAGCTAATGAGCTAAACCGATCTATTGAGTAATTCTATCGTCAAAGGCATTTGACTACTAAAGTGCAAATATAAAAATGTAATTATGTAATATTCTATGAAAGAAAAATACAAAAAACTTAAGCAAATAGTCTGCATGATATAAAGCAGTCTGCATGAATAGAGCAATTTTAGTCTTTTATTAATACCTATAAAATTTTTAAAATTCTGGGGGAAAGACTTATATTAATCCTTCTTCAACTGCTAACATAAAAGAACTTTTGACTATGAAATTAATTTTAAAATCTATTTTGCTTTAATATTTAAAAAAATTAGGAAAGTTCATTGACGCCTCGGCTTTTTCGCATGCTTGTCTCACGCATATTCTCGTCTAATTAAGCCTTTGGCTCAACTAATTGCCCTTTATCCAATTTATTACCACGCTTTTTTCATAATACTATTTCAAGCTAATCCTTAATATTTAGTCTATTTGAGTTATTAACTTAAAAAATAATCACAAAGAAGCAATTATAAAAATTTTTAATTTTTTTTAGAATTGTTTTGCTAAAATTGTTCTTATTTGGTATATTCATTATTAGGATAGCATGAGATCTCATATTAGTGCTTGAAATAAATTTTATTGCATCACTGTATACTTATAATTAGCTAACATAAAAGAACTTTGCAAAATTTATACCAAATGAAAAATTTTTAAAACATGTAAGGAACAAGAAAATGAGAGCAATAAATGACTATTTTTCGATGCTAAAAGCATAATTCATCCATTCTTTTAGTGCCGTAGGCAAAAATTATGGGAATTTCCTAAGACCAAAAGTAAATATCCTCCTTTTTATAACAAATGCAAGAAAACCGCGAAAAAGACAAAATCAATTTGTTGCGATATCAAATGATTGATAGGCCGTAATATCATTCATAAACACCGAAATTAAGGGAGATTAAAGTTGTAACAAATTATTTATTAAAAATGAAAATCTTTTATCGCTAAATTAGGATATCTTAATATGCAATTAGAAAGGCCACAAAGAAGCTTTACATGAAAAGTTTTAAGATATAAACTCAAATAAAAAATAGAACATACAGTAAGACTAATAAGGTGCAAACTGACATACCCGTTGTATAAGGACAGATCTTATGACTCGGTTCAAAATACTATTGGTTCAATTGACAAAAAATGGAAATTTTTATTTTTTAATATAGCCTAACAATAAGTCATTTACCAAATAAATATAAAAATATGACTGAGTAAATTTCAAAATATTTTAATGCTTTTTTGAATAATTATGATGTGGTAACTAACAAAAAGTGCAAATATCCATTTTGAGATATAGGCCAAATTTTAAAATAATAACAAAATAGAGGGGTAGTTATAAAAAGGGTGATGCGACTTTTGCGGCGCGTACACTTGCGGCTCAGACATTTGCGGCCCAGACACTTGCGGCTCGCCCCTATTTTGACACTTGCGGTCCCGACACTTGCGGCATAGAAATTTTCGGCGCAGACATTTGCGGCTATCAACTTGAGGCCCAGACACTTGCGGCCCAGACTATTGCGGTTTTGCCATTTGAGGCTCCCCCCTATTGTGACACTTGCGGCCCGACATTTGCGGCCTCGATATTTGCGGCCCCGACATTTGCGGCAATATTTAAAAATTAAGTAAATTAAAATAAAAAAATACTAATTTATCGTTTAATAAAATAAGTTTATTCTCCAAGTTTATTCTCCTTGGCATCATAATCCGGGAAATCCGAATTTTTTAGGGCGCTGGTCTAGTTTATGCGTCCAATGAAACTTTTATGCGTCCAATGAAACTTTATGAGTCCAATCAAAAAATAATTTGATTTTTCTTAGTACATATTGCAAAGTTGGTGTTGGTTCCAAAGCATTTCTTCATGTTCGGGACGTACGCCCACTGGGTCTGGGACCGTTCCTTGCCCTATCCCTCGAAATTTCGTTAAGTTATAGCCAATTTTTAAAAATTACGAAAAAACAATTATAACTTTCCGAAATTACGATGGGTAGGGCAAGGAATGGTCCCAGACCCCGTGGGCATAGGTCCCGAACATGCAGAACTGTTTTGGAACCATACCCCAACTTTGTAATATTAAGAAAAATTCAATTTTTTGTTTATTGGACTCATAAACTTTTCATTGGACGCATAAACTAGACCAGCGCCTTTTTTAAACCAGGATCCGGACAAGAGATAACCGAAATTTCGTTTCATTTCGTTTCGCTATTTCGTGCCCTTTTATCCATTTCGTTTCGGAGCGAAATAATTTACTCAATTTTTTTATTTACTTAATTTTTAAATATCGCCGCAAATGTCGAGGCCGCAAATGTCGGGCCGCAAGTGTCACAATAGGGGGGAGCCTCAAATGGCAAAACCGCAATAGTCTGGGCCGCAAGTGTCTGGGCCTCAAGTTGATAGCCGCATATGTCTGCGCCGAAAATTTCTTAGCCGCAAGTGTCGGGACCGCAAGTGTCAAAATAGGGGCGAGCCGCAAGTGTCTGGGCCGCAGATGTCTGAGCCGCAAGTGTACGCGCCGCAAAAGTCGGCTAATCATAAAAAGATATCTACTTAATATCAGTTATTTTAAATAGGAAAATCTTTTATTTGTATTTTATAAAATAGTTTTAATATTAAAATTTAAAATGAAAAAATTTATTATTCTTCTTCTCTCATATTTTGTTGTTCTGTTGAATATCCAAATCAACGGTAAAATGGCTGAGGTTGGATTAAAAATCAAAAATGATTGGGAAGAAAAAAGAGAATTTATTTATTTAAAAAATATTCAAATAAAGGAACGTTTTGTATTGATAATGAATGTAAATTCAAAAACGAGAATAGTTGATTATCTTTACAAGACTACTGAATCGTTTCGTAGGATTGAAGTGAACCCTGTTAAAAAAGTCTTTATTGTTAAACTAAGTCGGAGAGCTAAATTTAGCTCTCAATTAAAAATGAGAATTTTGATTGAAATTGCCAATAATGAAATTGTTAAGAAATTTTTGCCTAACTTGGGAAAACAAGTATTTTATATTTGATTATTCGAAATTTAAGCCTTCAATAATACAAAAATTTAAAGATTTGCCGAAATTATTATTTAAAAGTAAATAATAATTATTATGAAACTTCTATATTAGAAGAAACCTTAAAAAATATCAAAATAAATAAAAAAGAATTATTAAAAGAAAATATAGAATCTTATAAAAACAAAATTTTGTCAAGTTATTGGACGGAAATTAATTTAATTGGATATAAAATTGAATTGTTAGAAAAACAAAATGTTGAATTTACGGAAGAATTAATAAACAGAACAATTTTTATTGGCGATAAAATCAGTAAATATATTTTTAATTTTGTCTATCTTTTCAATTGACTAAAAAAATTTCCTTGATAATTATAGGTGGAATAATTGAGGTAAATAAACAGAATTGTTTCAATTGTCAATCAAAACAAAGCAAAAAATGGTATAGTGTGCTAAAAGAACATTACTTGTGCAAACCATGTGGCGTATATAAATACAAATATGGAAAGTTTAGATCAAATAAATTATGGTTTAAGACTACAAAGGTTATCTATATCAACAATTGGGAAGATTTTTTGATAAATCATTCTCGAAAACAAATTATATATAAACTTTGGTACTTTATGTTTATACACCCTACATACATATATATTGTGTCTCAGTGTATATAATGGTCAGACTTTCTGACCAAAACATTTTCACAATATACTTTTTCTGGTACCATGACAATTGAAAACTTTAAACAGTAGCATTCTAAGAGAAAAGAACATTTATAGGGTTAAATATGATTTACATACATAAGTAATATTTAATAAATATTTTAGCGAATAACAACTGATCGAAATTGTCGTATTTGCGGTGTAACAAAAACATCAAATTGGTACCGTCATTCAAATCCTGGGCACTATATTTGTGATACTTGTTACAAAAGACAACAAAAAATAAAGAAAGCAAATTAGAATTCAACGAAACACTATTTGAGTCTAGCAACATTAAATTTATGTTAAGCATATTATATTCATGTACATAAACTATGGTGCATTATTATTTTTCCTTAATTTTTCACAATAGTGGATAATCAAAATTATGGGAAATACATAATAGAAATTCTAATCAAATAATTAAAAATATTACAAATTATTAATGAATTTTAGATATTAAATTCAAAAATTTTGTCAAAATAATCTTTTAATGTCTCATCATAAAAAGTTCAAGATAGACAGACTTTACCTCTTTTTTGCATAAGTAATTTTTCATGTTCTTTTTTGTTATTATTCATTTCCTTACACTCTGTAACACCTAGTTTTTATCAATATCCTACCAAATATTAAATGGATCTGTTTCAAATTTTGGTAGAATATAGATAAGGATATTATGTATCAATAATCGAAAGACAAAGTTTAATGCAGTTTTTAAACAAATATTAAAGAAACAACAATCATCGAGAACATATTTGAACTGATTTTTGAGGTTTTAATATTTCCGGAAAAAAGAGTGTTACCGTCGACTCAGCACATTTTTTAGAAGACTCAGCACATTTTTTTTACTACATAATAGTAAGATTCTATAAGATATACAAAAAAATTTTTAGAATTTAAAAAAAATCAGGCGGAATCGTAGTCACAAGAAACTTCACAAGAATAAATTTTATAAATCCAATACTTGGGATTTAAGAAAAAGGCACTCAAATTTCATTTTTAATTACTTGTATTCTGATTAATTAAACATAAATTTATGTATTTTCCCTTTTGATTTAGACATGATTTTGCCATTTCATTAACTTTAAAGCTTCAATAATATTGTATATTCAAAGGTTCTTAAATCAACAATAATGGTTGATTATTAATTTGCGAAAGTTTATAATTTACTTCGTTATTATGTATTTTCACACTATTAAGCTTCTTGTCCAATTTTTTGTTTTTATTTTTTGGTTCCTACTGCTCTTTTCTTCATTCTTTATCTTCAAGTTAAAACCTTTCTGGCATAACCGATTTCATTAAAAAGTTGTTAATGAACATCGGTCACTTACATAGAATAACAGTATGATGCTTCCCCAAATACAGCATCGTTCATAATTGATGTTTGGGAAATTTTGAGTAAACAATATCATACCGTATTTAAAATTAAATGAAATAAATTAATTTAAATCTAAATTAAAAGAGAAAATGAATTAATGGATACTTAATGGATTACAGACAAATTTTAAAATTTTCGTTTTAAATCTATTCGGCTTTCCTTCTCCTAATTTCTTTAGCTTATCAAAATTCTCGAGGGCTGAATTAACTTAGATTTTAATTCTATTTTATGATGTTTTGTTTTTTTTCAATTTTATCTTTTAATTTTTTTATCAATTTTTAAATTTAGATTCAGTTTTTTAAATCCCAAGATGGCTTTTCGAGTTATTAAACGCTTTCCAAATATCCAAGAATTTGAAAAGTGGAAGAAAGAAGAAGAATTTGACAAAAATTGGGCTCCAAAAGATCCAGAAGCTAAAAGTCGACATGGTGTCGACTATTTTTTTCGATGCCCTGTCAGTTTTTTAACCTAATTTGAAATTTTGGCGTTTTTAGACATTTTGGGTTTTTACTTTTGGGTTCTCAAGACTTTTTTTTAAATTTTGGGGTTACTTCCTTTTTTCCAAGTTGCCTTTTTTCCAAAATTAATTTAAAAATCCATCATTAAATTCTATACAAGATACTTATATTTATTTTAGGCTGAGGGTTGTTTGGCCGAACGGAAAGTTGTGTATTCCGAAATTTGGAAAGTTACAGTTTTTGAGGCAGGTGAACATAGCATCCTGTGGCTGAAAAACATGTTTACAAATTGGTTAATCGTCAATCGGGCAATAATTGAAATGTATTGTTAAAAATTCATTTAGATTCGTTATGGTTTAATAATGATGCGTGAAGTTGAATGAATCAATCAAGTTATATCGAAAGTTAAACAATTAAAAAGAAATAAATTTAAACTCAAATCATAGAACAAGAACTTTTTTCTGATTCATTTAACTTCACGCATCATTATTAAACCATAACGAATCTAAATGAATTTTTAACAATACATTTCAATTATTGCCCGATTGACGATTAACCAATTTGTAAACATGTTTTTCAGCCACAGGATGCTATGTTCACCTGCCTCAAAAACTGTAACTTTCCAAATTTCGGAATACACAACTTTCCGTTCGGCCAAACAACCCTCAGCCTAAAATAAATATAAGTATCTTGTATAGAATTTAATGATGGATTTTTAAATTAATTTTGGAAAAAAGGCAACTTGGAAAAAAGGAAGTAACCCCAAAATTAAAAAAAAAGTCTTGGGAACCCAAAAGTAAAAACCCAAAATGTCTAAAAACGACAAAATTTCAAATTAGGTTAAAAAACTGACAGGGCATCGAAAAAAATAGTCGACACCATGTCGACTTTTAGCTTCTAGATCTTTTGGAGCCCAATTTTTGTCAAATTCTTCTTCTTTCTTCCACTTTTCAAATTCTTGGATATTTGGAAAGCGCTTAAAACTCGAAAAGCCATCTTGGGATTTAAAAAAATGAAACTAAATTTAAAAATTGATAAAAAAAATTAAAAGATAAAATTGAAAAAAAAACAAAACTTCATAAAATAGAATTAAAATCTAAGTTAATTCAGCCCTCAGGAATTTTGATAAGCTAAAGAAATTAGGAGAAGGAAAGCCGAATAGATTTAAGATCGAGAATGTTAAAATTTGTCTGTAATCCATTAAGTATCCATTAATTCATTTTCTCTTTTGATTTTGATTTAAATTAATTTATTTCATTTAATTTTAAATATGGTAAGTTATTGTTTACTCAAACCTTCCCAAACATCAATTACGAATCATGCTATTTATTGTATTGGGTGAAGTATCATACCGTTATTCGATGTAAGTGACTGATGTTCATTAACAACTTGTTTTAACTTGAAGATAAAGAATGAATAGAGGAGCATTAGAAACCAAAAAATAAAGAAAATTGGCCAGGATGCTTAATAGGATGTGTGGCAAAGGCGAAAATTACCAAATTAAGTCTAAATCAAAAGGGAAAATACACAACTGAATGTTTAATTAATCTGAATACAAATTTGATTAAAAAAGAAATCTGAGTGCCTTGGTTCTTAAATTCCAATGCCTTCTGACTTGCCATCTACTTGTTAGAAAAAGAAAGATTGACAATAGAAAAGTAAAATTAATCTGAGACTCAAATAAGGGTGGGATATCAATAAAGTACCCAAAATTCAATCGAACTAGGATTGCGCCTGAATTGTCAAAATCAAGAATCTCTGTACCTGGATAGAGAATTAAATTTACTACTAATCACAGAAACATTAAAATTTTAGATTCATATATTAAAAAATGTTACGTTCCAAAACACAAAATTTTTCAAAGAATGTTGATTTTGATAACTATCGATCACAACTTTTTTACCATGCAGTCGATAATTTCGAATTTTTTGAATGTTGTAGTAAATTTAATTCTCTATCCAATGGTACCAAGAACATTGACAAATGACATTTCCTTTAAAAATTATAAATTAAAAACAAACATATATTCATCTTTAGAGATTGGTTTAAGACCCAAAGCTTCTTTACTTTCTTCGTCCTCATAATCTTCTTTATTTTCTTCCTCCTTGATTGACTTGTTTCCTTTTGTAACATATTCGTTTGAGAAGCTATAAATTAAATTTAAAAAAATTCAATTAAAAAATAAACCTTCATTATTCGAAAAATTATCGGGAACACTACTAATAGCTTCAGATCCGTCCTTTTTAAAATCGATTTCACGAATTTGGCCAGAACCAATTAAAAAGACACGATCACATTGAGAAAGAAACTAAAAAAATTTGCAAGTAAAATTGTCCGCAAAATTTTGCGGACAATTTTCAATGAATTCGCAGAAATATTTGCCGACATTTTTTTCAAAAATTCGTAAATAATTCAGGACTTTTTTCAAAAGTTTTTCACTTTTTTCAAATGCCCGCAAATAATCTGCGGACATTTTCTTAAAATCCGCAAACTTATTTTCTATTTAAATAAAAATTTAAAAAAACCTCAGAATTATAAGCTACAAGTAAACGTGTTTTTGTTGCCAATTCCTTTATTCCAAAATTCAAAAATTTTCAGCAACATTTTCCGGAAACAATTCCAAATCTTTTTGTAGCTGTGCCCAACTTATAGCTTTGTAATAACGTTGACTATTCATTTGTGAAGAACCACCACCAAAAATAATATTTTCACGAATTGTTGTTCGAAGAATTGAAGGATTTTGGGAACAAAGAGCAACTGGACCAACAATGTTAATTGAGCTATAACCAAGATTGGACATCTTAAATGAAAAAAATTTTGTGATAACTAAAAAAAGATGTGGTTATTAAGTTCTCTATTGGAATTTATACGTCCCATAAACGTTTAGGTTTTTATTCTTAAAGTTTAATGTTTGTATCAGGCCCGTAGCCAGGATTTTTTTCGGGGGAGGGGGGGGGGGAATTATCTTGTAATGGGGAACAAGGCCATGCAAGATAAACGGCAGGATTTAATCGATCCGTCCAACAATCTTGTAGGTTTTAAAAAAAACGTAATAAACCTCTAAACATGTCGGCCCAATAAATCCAAATACCAAACAAAAAAGAAAAACAGCACAAGCCAAAAATAGACGAAAACGAATAAATCGAAAAACTGCAAAAGTTAGTGAAGGCTTTTGACCGAGTGAAGTAGATCCATGCTTTTCTTCGTTAAAAATGTGTTCCAATCTGAAAAAAATTTAATGAGAAAGATATTAAAGAATTAAAAAAAGTCCGCAAGTTTAGTCCGCAAATTTTAGAATCAGAATAAATGCCAAGAGGTCGAAGGATCCATGTCTGCCCAGAGCTCTATCTCTTTCCTACTTATTGTTAGTACAATCTCCCAGTTAAAAAATGATTCTAATGAGCATATGTCCCACAAAAATGAAAAATTGGTAGATTTAAATTGCGGACAAAACTTGCAGATTTATCCAAGTCACCAAATTTTAGAAAATTAATTAATCTAAATAAGCGGATCCCACAACTTTTCAGGATACAAAATTAAAAATAAAGATCCAATGACTTATTTAACCTAAAATAGCCAGGTGTAACTCAAATAACCCCCCCAGAATTCTTTTCGCAAACCTTTTAAAATTAAAAATTAAAAAAAACCTAACATTCAACACAATCACTTTCAGCTCCTTCAAAGTCTTCCAATTTAAATCTGGCCATCGCTCTATTCTTCAAAAAAGTTGCTTGACTGTAACAATCAACAGACTCAGAAAACTTGTCCAAACTGAAAAGTACATTTCCAGAATTTTTTAAATTTTCGGCCGTCAAGTCATCATTTTGTGATAAACATTCTTCATTTTGAGGCATTATTTTTAGTGTTTGTGGGATTTAATTACTGAAAATTAGAAAGATAAAATTAGAAAAATAAAATGAGGAAACTATGGAAAGGACGGGTAGCACGGCGAGTTAAATGGAAAATTAAGTGATTGAAAAATAGTGTGCTAAGTGAAGAGAGACGCACAAAAACATTAAACTTTTTGTACTTTATTTGCAGTAGTTTCAGTGCCAATAAATAATAGCCGTTTGAGTGCTGATTTTATCGCAGAGTTTGAGTGTCTACGATGGGAACTCTCTCTTTCATTATTTAAATCCTTATATCTTTCGACCCTTCCACCCGTTTTTTTCAAATTTTATGTTTATAATTCTTTGCCTTTTACAAGCAAATGATGGTTAATGATTTAAATTAGTGTTAGAAAAGACCGGTTTGAAAACCGAAATTTTTGGAAAAAACGCCTGTCTCATTTAATTTTAATAAAGAATAAAAAAAGTGAATTCCAGTGCAAACTCCGTCATGAAAATATATAAGTCTATATTTTGATTTTTAAATTTTATACTGCATAATATGAAATAAAGTAAAAAAACATAATTTACGAATAATATGTCGGATACAATCTGCATTAAATCTGCGCGGATTGTCATAAAAAGGCTTTTGACATTTTTACTTTGATTTATACAGGTGCGGCAACTTTTCCGCCCTTCTTTGGCCATATCTCGCTTCAAACTCAACACAAACCAAATTTGTATACAAATTTATAAATTAATTTGATTAGTTTTCTCTTAAAGTCCCGACAAAATTCTTTTGGATAAGAAAAATAGATTGATTCAAAAGTGTAAAGCATATAGCTATTCAATTCCTAAGGCTGTGCATTAGGCGGCGTGGTGTAATGGCTAACATATCAGTCCGGCCTACTGAAGATCAGCTGCCGAATAACCTTTCGCACTAGCTGAAAGAGAGAGATAGCTATAGCCCTGCTGCTTTACTAAGGCTATTTGTCTGAATGATATAATCATTGGAGCTAATTCAAATGTTTATGTATATAATTCGAATAAGCTCTTCTAGCCGATTTGAATGACGGCAAAAATGATCAAAAAATTATTTTGTTCATGAGCATGTTCATGAGCTCATAGAGACGAGTCGATCGGCACAATAAAAGTAGGATTGGATGAATTTGAACAATTTATGGCAAAGTAAAACTTATTCATGAAAAATATTTTTGGCAAAAAAATGCGGGCGCCAAAGTTGTCGCACCCTGTATAATAAAACATTTTTGCATACTCCAATATGTACATACGGTCAATCCAACCCCGTTCAGTCAATCATGCGTTGCAGTATGTTAGTCTAAAAATTAATTTACTAATAAATTGTTTAGTTCGAGTAAGTTGAAAAATGGAAAATTTTTGACGGAAAATATACAAGACCGTAATCAATTAAGAAACACGCATAATCTTTTAGGGTAAAATTATAGAGTAGCCGTTTCTACGGGAATTGTGTGAGGTTGAACAACTAAACCCTCTATATCCCATTTTTATTTTGATTATTGCTATATAACAGCTATCGAGCATTCTACCAAAGTTGGCTTAAAAATTGTTTAAATTTAAGCCATATTTTAGAAATAATATATAACTAACTTAGTTTCCAGAAATAGAATCAAAGTTTAGGTAATCATCAACGTCAATCTCGGAGGCGTGTTCTTGATTTTGATTAGAATAGTGATTTTGGTTAGAATTCTGTGCAGGTGGAGTTTGATGTTGAGAACTTCCTCCTGATAAAGTATTTTCCAAACTTTTTTGTATTTTATCAAGATGGGGATTGTTAGTATTATTGTCATCATCATTGTCATTTACAAATAAAGTATTATAAGCATTGTAGATGTTTTGTGACTTTGAATAATTTATTAGAGTTAGTCATGATGTAAAACCGAATATTATATTTATTGTCAAAAATAACACTGGTATTTATTATTTAACCAAAATTCATAACCGAAAATCGGGCCCTAAAAATTTTTATTAACAAAACCGGGGGGTATTGGTTAATAACCGGTTGTGTCCAACCCTACAAAGTATTATGTTTTCATTAATGGGCATTTATGTCTTCCGAGGAATATTTCGGCCTATATGATATTTGAGTTGAATTAGAATCCGAAAATATTAAGTCCTGCACTACTACAGTATTTTAAATTCAAGCATAACTCTGCTTGGCTTTTGACCGGAATATAACTCTGCGAAAAAATATTTGTCCAGTATAATTTACTGTACAGTGAACCCATTGAGACAAGCCGACTCAATAAAATATAATACTAACAAATTTCACAATTGCTTTTTTCCGTTCGACTTCAGAATCGTTGAGTTCTTTTAATTTTTCATCCCATGTTTTATATTTTCTTTTAACTTGTGTTTCAGATCCTGTGATGTCTTCTGATTTACTTTTGAGTGATTTATGTTGTTCATTGACATTAATGGTGTTGTGTAAAGCTAAAATTACATATTTGTAAAATAAACACTAATATTGTTTTTGCTATTTGTTTTGAAAATTTTTAGTACAAAATTTGTTCACAAAATATTATGGGCAAAAATGAAATGTTTATGAGATTTGTGTGCAAATTATCTAATCAGGGCTTTTAATATAACTTGGCTGATATTGGGGTAAGCCCAAAAGCAAATTCATAGCTAGCCGAAAAGTTACTGGCCCTTATCACTTTTGGTACCAATCTCTTTAGCACGATGAGACGAGTCGTTTAATACTAAATTTGTAAAGATTCGGAAATCTTGAAGCAAATCATGGCTTTGCGAGGATGTCCATATTTATGTTTTTCAATATATCCCTTCTGACTTATCCATTATGTCATATCACACATCACCTGACCTATTCATCTCCTGACATCGTCTAACTCCACCTGACATACTCCTGACTTATTCCACTCCTGACATTCTTGTGACCTATCCACCTGACCTATCTACACATGACATCCATCTGACCATTCAACATGACTAGCCACCTGACACATCTGACCATATCACCTGACATCCACGCGATTTATCCGCCTGATTTAGCCCAACACTTTGGATATTTTCAAGTAGCCAATTTAAGATTTCTGTCAATTTAGGACTACCGCAAACTAAGGATAAGGAACGGAAATCATTATTAATATACCGATATTTCCAGAGCTTCCTTGCTGAAGACTTGGATGATTTATATGACTCAAATTATGTGTGATTTGGTTGGTTGAATTGATCAAATTTTGTTGCGGCTTATTGATCAATGTTGAGTAAGGACTAGCATTTTGTGTCGGTGAAGTTTTATCTTCAGTTTTTAAAACTGTATCGTGAATTTGATTGTTTGAAGTAAATTCATTAAAATTTTTCGGTGCCTTCTCTGTCTCTGTCATATTACTTAACTTAAGAAGATGATGAAACGCCGGACTATCTTAAATAAAATAATATTAATATACGAACCTGAAAATAATACCGTAAATATCCTAATAGAAGCCCATCCCTAATAGAAGCCCATGCCCTGTTAGAAGCCCATCTGATTTTTGAATGCCTATTTTTCTATCACTTTTGTTATACTCTTCTAAAAGTATTGATACGAAATTCCAATGGCTAAAAATGATTATAGAGGCTCTTTTAAAAAAATTCCAAATTTATGAGATATACGCGGACAAAGAGGATAATGTCGGATACATATGTCAAATCCGGATCTGGCCAAATAAATTTTACACATTAAATTTTGGTCACATAATTTTTTGCATCAGCTAAAGGAGAAATAGCGAGCACCGCTCCGGACTATTTTTCGAATTATAATCTAACCGATTTAAAAATTTCAGGAAGTTCCTGAAGTGGGTCGATAGGACACTAGGTGTTTATTAATAAAAATTAATCATTTATTTAATTCAAATCACCTATAATTTTGTTCCGTACCATATAGCTTTCACGTTTATCTTTATATATAGTACCTTTGCCCCTAACTTTATGAATTTTAGTATCATGTCGTTTTTTAGGAATATTTTTTCCATTTTCTTTCACACAATTTACAAAATCAAAAATTAGGATTTTTAAAAGAATAAATTGAAGAAACAAAATAAAATTCATTTCTCTAAAAAATAATTTTATTTTAGTAGGTCTGTCAAATAGAAATTGATATAGCAGGTCATAACTTTAATTTAGTTATCACCTGTCGCCTTATTTGAAATTTTAATTATGTTTAAGATTTTAAAACTATGATCTAATTTTTGCCCTATTTCGCCCTATTTTTGCCCTATTTATGAGTGGCTGCGCTCTAGTGTTTTGGAAAGGGCCACCCTGCCTGTCACGACCTCGGATTTTTCGATTCCGGTTCGATTTCCCGTTTGTTTCTAAACATACAGTCTACAAAATACATATGTATGTATATATTTTTATTTATATGTATATTTTACTGAAAATTTTGTTGTCTGTAATAAAAAAAGGTCCCCGTCCCTCCCCTGGCGTTCCCTCCCAAATGTAAATACACAGGGATATTTATGGACACCCTACTATATTCGGAACGGGCCAGTTGAGCGTGGCCGGTTGAGCGTCAGCCAACTTTGATCGGCTATAACTTTTTTCCGCTTGATTCAATGCTAATGAATCATATATCATTCGAAAGCCCTCGTTAAGCGCTATATTTGTTTCAATTGGATGGATCATGATTGATTGCTATTTAAAAAGTTACAAGTCGATAAGTGTGAAAAACAACGATTTTCTGCACTTATCGACTTATAACCTTTTAACCGGGATCAGACTTGATCCATCCAGTTGGGATAAAGATTGGACTCATCGAGGGCTTTCGGTTGATATATGATTCACTCGTATTGGATCAAGGCTAAAAAAGTTATAGCCGTTCAAATGTCGGCTGACGCTCAACCGGCCACGCTCAACTGACCCCAACCGTACTATATTTATATTTTTTTAAGAAAAATTTGTTAAAATATTTTTATCCAGAACAAAATTTGTTTATTTTACTTTAAAATGTTTTAGAGAAAAATTCCTAAACGCTATTTTTCTAATTTTCAATTAAAAATTATTAAAATAAATTAAAATTAAATGCCAGACAAGTATAATAAATTAAAAAATTTTTTTAAATGTAAAGACATCCTCTCTAAGGCATCCCCTCTAAAGCATCTCCTCTAAAGCATCTCCCCTCTAAAGCATCCTCTCTACATCCTCCCCTACCCATTGTCTAAATTTTAAAATTTATCAATTTCACGTGTTATTGATAGATGGAGAGGAAGCAAATAAAGGCAATGCTTCACTCGATTAAACGCTTGCCTAAAAGTGATTGACAAATTGAGAGTCTCATAAGAATTGAGAGTCTAATAATAGAGTCTTGAAAACTAAAAATGTTTTTGGCAACAAGACTCTAAATTAAACAGTGGGAAGTTAATCGTGTTTCTGAAATTCGAATTGATACAGTAACTTTAGTCATTTGTTTAGGGTTGGAGGCCCGGTTCGGGTTGTAAGATCGTTCCGGGCCTCGAATCACTTTACCTGAACTCCTTTTTGAAACCCCGAATTTTGGCCCGAAAAAGAAGCGAACGGCCCGGTATCGATAAAAATGAGGCCTGGAAATATGACTCGAACGTCGGCCCGGTTCGAAAACTCCAACCCTACCATTGGGGAAACTAACCCTATTGTCGAACTATCGGGATCTTAAGTGTTAAAGAACACTGAGAATGTTTAACGTGTTATTCCCGTTATGGTTGATTTAGAAAATAGCAACACTGAATTTTCCTTTGTTTGAAAATTAGAGATGAAAGCTATCTTTGTAGGAACTAGGGGTAGGCGCAATAGACAATTGCAAAAAACCCAATACAAGGGCTAAACACAACGCAAAAATCAAGAGACGCAAAAAATAGACTGAATAAGTTAAATTATAATTTAACTTGTGAAATCAAGACTTTATTTTAAAATTTTGTAAACAAATAAAGTTGCTAAACATGTGAATTAAAAAATTTCAAAAGCGATGCGACATGACTGCGTTATAATTTTTTTCGGCGGAAATAACAATAAATATCCAACAAAATATTTATGAAATATTTATTTACTGCACTTTATTAAGGGAAAAAGCTAAACATTGTTAATTTGGATAACGGAAATTAGACAAAAAATGAGTAATTATAACGTAGCTGAAACTAAAAATGTGATTCCTCATTCCGAGCGATTTGAATCTGACTAGGAAGCCTATGTCGAGCTCTCAACTTTGTTGAGGCAAAGTAAGACACTTATCTATGATAAAAAATTATGTTTATTTAAAGTTTTTCATTGATGCCGAAAATGAATAAAAGGAGCTGATAGGTTTATTAGGGTTGTTGGCGACCGGTTATTAACCGGTACCCCCGGTTTCCGGTTAATTTAAATTTTAGAAATTCGGTTTTCGTTTGAGTTTAGATAAATACCGATTTTATTTTGGGGGAATTTTTAATAAAATATTCATTTTCACAAATTTCCGGTTTTTTGTTTTTAAAATTTTCTAAAAACATTTAATTTCTGCCAAAAAATTTCAAAAATTCCAACAGCCCTAGTATTTATATTATAATTGTAGTTAGCAGAGGGAGAGAGATAATTTAACGAGATATTTGAATATAAAGGAAAACACATTTAAGAGATAGTTTGGACACAAAGGGATAACTGGCCGGAACCGAAAATCTAAAACCGATGATCAAAAACGGTGATAGCCCATAAACGGAGGCACTTGTTAATTGATAGGATTCTTGACAACTTGTTAGGAGTTTTAATTAAAGCGATAAAACGGCATTATATTGCTTAAAATAGATCAACAATCTACTCGCATATTGAATAGTCTGGCGCTCTCATCACCTATACACAAGGCTCTAGACAGTGGAAATGCTTCGCTGCGCCCGCGCTAGCATCGCTCTCGGCAAGTCCAATAGACATGCTCGGCATTCTCCGTAGCGGCAAAAACTTTTTTCTACATATATAATAAAGCATAAATAAGATATCAGAATTTTAATATAAAAAAGAATCATTCAAGAGTCTATAAAAGAAATATAATTAAAACTCGGATATAGACCCACAGTAATAGGGCCAATTGGTAAATGTCAAGCGCTGCCTACCGTGTTTTATTGATTAATTCCCCTGGGGAATTATTTTTTCAACCCTTCCTTGGCATGGGGAATTAATCGAGGGAGGGGAATTAATCGAGTTTTGGCATTTGAACGTGCAGTAGGGTATTTGGGGGTGGGGAATTATTGTTTCAACCCAACTCTAGAATGAGGAATTAATCGAGAGGGGGAATTATTCGAGGGAGGGGAATTAAGCGAGAAAATATGGTATATGCCCGCAAAAGAAATTATGCAAAAATAATTTTTCCGCATTTTTTCCTCTCCCTCTCTTTCTAAATGATAGATTGACAGTTTGGAGCAATAATAAAGGAAGCAACATTAGACCAAATGCTAAAGTTGGGACCAAGTTTTAAATTGCTTTATTATGTAATTTGCATTATTCGAAAGAATGACCTTGAGGATCGAAATTTCGAACGTGATCTAAGGGACGAAGCTAAGATAAAAACTAAGTTAAAATCCATTAAGATGTAAATAAAAATTATTAATTTACTTTAAAGTAAAGGGCATGCTTTCAAAATTCAATTAAAGGTTAACAGGGGCGCGCATTTAAAAATTAGCAGGGGCGCCTGTAACGCATGATAGTCCCTCTTGCGATGGGCTTATTTTACTATAAACTATAATATGTAAAGAATTGTTTATTTATAGCCAGTTTATTTTATATTTTTCCCATTTTTGTTTTCTAATTAAAAATAATAATTTTTTATTTGTATATTTTTTATAAAAAAGAAATTATAGTTTGAACGACTAGCCAAATAACACCTACATTGAAATTTAATAGGATTTAATAAATTTAGTTGGTCACTTAGTAGTGATGGGACTTTTATATCCAAGGATAACTGAGGGCAGAATTTGGTATAATTTAACATTCCGATATAACATAATTATAATTAAACCGCATGTTATCGGAACCAGAGGTGGATCGGAACAGTCAGAGGTGTCGGAAATCGGAAGAGCCGGAAATCGGAACTGGCTCAAAAGTCGGAAATCGGAAATAAAAATTTTTTTTCGGAAATCGGAAGGAAAAAACGTCGGAAATCGGAATTCCGATCCACCTCTGATCGGAACTATCGAATAACATAATAATCTGCCTGTAACAAGCTGGAGTCTCGAATACCGTTGCACTGTAGCGAATACCGTTGCTACTGGGAAAGCTTCCTAGCTTTCAAGCCCCTTCTAAAACTATGTAATCTACAAACAGTTTTACTTGATGAAATAATCTCTATAATCTTAATAAACTTGAATTTATAGTTAAAAACTTGAATCATTCAAAATGTCAAAATCCTTCAACCTTTTTCTCATTTTAACATTTGTACAAATTTTACCTTCGATTTCAACCGGGGGTGCATCTTCAAGTTCAGGAAATGGTGAAAATCGAAAACTTTTAAAATTGATTGGAAAATATGGATATGAATCACTTGTTGGTGATTACAAAAAGTATGAGACGTGTTTTAGAATGACGAAGGATGTTAGTCCACAAGAATATTTTATCGTTTTTAGAGAGGTTTAGTTAATATGAAATTCTAATTTAATAAAAATTATAAATTGAGAACATATAGATAGGAAACGAACGATTGTAATAACCTGCCCATATCTAGTGGGGGCACGGGTCGATGGGAAATGTTGAAGGTATCATAGTAAATAGGACTTTCGATCGACTCCTGGTGATGGGAAATTGTTGGTTACAGCTCCGACCTTTTCCAAGCCATTGCTCCGGCTCCGGGCAATTTAAAGTGAGCCGGTGATTTTTGGACTGCTTGATGTTGACTCCGGGCTCCGGGTTAGAGCTGGGCGAAAATTAAATTTTGCCCTCAACGAAACGAAAACTAAAAAAAAATAAATTCATTAATGTTCAAAACGAAGATTTCTAAGATTTTGCTTCGAAACATATCTGATTTGCAAAAATTATAAAGAGAACTTTTATTCCAAATAATAAAGAAAATAATTTATTTATTTAAATTGCATTTAGGTTCATACGTTCCTTAGAGAATCATTGGA